AGATGATGAACTGCCAAAAACTCTGACTGACATGTACACACATTTCCTTTTGCTCCAGCGCAGACAGACAAAAGCAAAATATAACACAGATCAGTCAACATCTGAAACCTCTGGAACGGAGACATTCAGTGATAAAACTAATGATGAAACAATCCTCTCATTGGGAAAACTTGCTTTCAAAGGACTAAAGGAGAAGAACCTTCTCTTCACTGAAGAAGAATTGACCAGTTGTGGGACTGATGTAACCAAAGCTGCTGTTTTCTCTGGGTTGTTAACTCAGATCAAACGAGAAAATCATGATCTATACAAGCAGAATATGTTTTGCTTTGTCCATCAAAGCATTCAAGAGTTCATGGCAGCTCTCCATGTCTGCTACTCTTTTACTAACAAAGGGGAAAATGTGTTCACAGAATCCACCTCAGCAACCTCTGACCTTACTGCCTCAGAGTTTTATAAGAAAGCAGTGGACAAGGCTTTTGAGGATGAACATGGGGACTGGGACATGTTCCTTCGGTTCCTAGTGGGTCTCTCTCTGGAATCTAATCAGGATCTACTTCAGGATCTGATGAATAAGAATGAAAAACACAAAGATGCTAGTAAGGAAGCTGTAGAGTACATCAAGAAGAAGATCAGAGAGAACAACAATGACCCAGATAAAAACCTTAATCTTTTCTACTGTCTTAATGAACTGAATGACGACACCCTTGTTCAAGAAATCAAAAAGTATCTTAATTCAGAAGAAAAACCTTTTGAAACTTTCACTGCTTCTCAGTGGTCAGCTTTAACCTTTGTGATGCTGAACTCAGATGAAAACCTTGAAGTGTTTGATCTTAAGAAATACCTGAAATCAGAGCAAGTTCTTCTGGGAATGATGCCAGTGGTCAAAGTCTCAAACACCACTTTGTAAGTATTTTTATAAAAACTGTAAAATGTGCCTTTAGTAGAGCTCTCATGTAGGGTCTATGATATGCCACTAGTTCAGAATAATGCTTCATATTACTTTCTTCACTGTGAACAAATAATTGTTATACATGAGAGTTATGGCTTTTTCCATTGGGGGTGGGATTCTAGTTTGACCACAAAGACATGATAACTTGTCTTTTACTGTTGTTTAAAACAAAACTCATATTTTGTTCCTTTACTGTTGTCCTTTATTATTTTAGGAGAAAATCACACATGGGTTTGTCAAATTAACTTGATTGTTTTCATGGATCTTTTTACAGACTGAGTTGGTGTGAGCTCTCTGAAGAATCTTGCAATGGTCTCACATTATCAGTGCTAACCAAACCATCCTCAAATCTCACTGTGTTGGACCTGAGTCATAATGATTTGATGGATGCTGGAGTGATGCGACTTGCTGATGGGTTGAAACATGTGAACTGTAAACTTGAGACTCTCAAGTAGGTTTTTCAGTTATCAATTAAAGTAATATATCAACCAGTGTTATAGTTAGCCACTAGTTTGAGTTTATAAACTAGTTTGTCTTGAGATTTAAAGTTATTCTGTGTTCGCAATTCTTGTTAGTGTTAAGTGTCAATATAATTCAACAATCCTATGAAAATAGTACTAAGATGGATACAACTAAAGTTGAGAGATGAGCAGCCCATGTATTAATGAAATAATTTGAAAGTCTTCCCTTAGGGGTGACAGTGGGTCAGGAGGTCATGAGGTCAGAGTTTATCCTGGAACCGGTAGGTTTCTAGTTTGAACACTGTTGTGTTGTGGTTAAGACACTTCACCTGACTTGCCTGCTGGTGATCAGAGAACCCAGTGACCCTGGTGCATGGCAGCTTCTCCTCTGTTAGACTGTTGTAGGGAGGCTGTGGCTACAATGTAGTAATTTGCCACCATCGGTGTGTGTGTGTGAATGAGTGAATGATGAAATGTGGTATGAAGCACTATGGGGTCCAATAGACTTGATAATGTGCTAGAGAGGTTCAGACCATTTACTATTTAAACTATAATCAGGTTTTACACAAAATTACTCTAAAAGACTGTAAAATGTCATGTTGGAAGCAATCTATGAGGAAGTAATCAATGGATTTATTGTTATCAAAAAATATAAGCTGCAGTATTGTAATATTTTAAGACACTTTATACTCTTATTATTTGCAGGCCATAACCTTTAAAATTAGAATAAAGGACTTTTATTCTTTGTTTTATATAGAAAATATATAAAGTCCTGGACTTTTGTATCACCATCAAATTTTGCTGAGCTCTATTTCTAATCCAAAATTATGTCTTTGTGCAGGTTGGCAGGATGTCAGGTGACAGAGGACGGCTGCATTTCTCTGGCTGAAGCTATTAAGTCCAATAGACTCTCATCTCTTAAACACTTGGACCTGAGTTACAATCACCCTGGAAACAAAGGGATGAGGGCTCTCAATGCAATAGTTGAGGATCCAAACAAGAAACTTGAGACAGTGAAGTGAGTAAATAAATCAGACATTACTTAGCATTATTATTACTACTGTAGAAAAATAGCTTAATCTAATATATGATGCACCATGTCTAAGTAGAGGCTTTTAAACAGCAATCAGGTATTTATGATGGATCCCACTGTTACTTCTTGCTATGCTTAGCTGAATATGTAAATAAATGTTATAGTTCAAGAACTAGTGGAATAATATATAAAGACTTTCTGATTTATTTTCCAGAATAAAATAAAATGAATCTTTCTTGTCTTACT